TACTCCTTCGACTTTTTGCCAGCACCAACATTGACCTTTGCAGTCCCCCTGACTTCCTTCATTCTGTTCTTGCATTCCTTTCACTGTTTTCTTGACATCTTTTTCTTCTCATAAAGACCATGTCTTGCAAGTCTATGTTTGGGTTCATTTTTCTTATATCATCCAAAGAATCATAAATCATGCCAAAGTCAGTTCTCTTGCCACCACTGACGTGGGTTCTGAACCCAAACACAAAGATGACATCTGCTGTGGTCTTGGACATCTTTGCTAGTTTTTCCCGAATTTCTGTCTTAGGTACTGTTGCCTTCCCAGAGTGAAGGACATCAATGACTATTTGTTTCCTCTGAAGTAGTCAGCTGGTCATGAATTTCCTGGTTTGGATAGTTACTGTGTCATTCGTGATGGCGGTATATCCTCAAGCAGCCAGGGAGAAGAGCTAATATTTATTTTTTATGTTTGTAGTTTAATTCCATTTTTCATGAATTTGGTGAATTACCATAGCAGACAATAAAACTAGAAAAAAAAAAAAACTCAGAAACAATCCCTACATACCTCTTCCTCTCTCCTTCTGGCTCTCTGTTTCTCTGGCAAGCATAAGCACATTTTGGCAAAATAAAACAAAACCAAAAAGCTCTTCTTTGTTAAGAACTTAGACATAAAATGCACACATCATCCAAGGCTTTTACAGGATCAGGATCATCGACTTTCCTGACTTCTACCACCCTTTGCTCCACTACAATGGCCATGATGAAATAAATGACAATCAAGGGCATAAGAAAATGATGCAGTTAGTTGGTAAACAGATGTACGAGACTGCTGTTCCTGTAATGCAGTGTACTGCTTTATACTAATTTTTTAAAGTGACATTCCATTCTAAAATAATGATAAGAATATAGTGTAGTACATACACAAATCTATAACATAGTCATTTATTATCAATATATCAGGTATTATAGACTGTACATAGTTGTACTGCTAGAGTTTTATCTGACAGGCAGTGTGATAGGTTTATTAATTCCAGTTGAACCATAAACATGAGCAATAGGTTGTTCTATGAAGAGAGCACACCTGTGATATTGCTAAGTAATGAGTTTTGAGCTCCTTTGTAATCTCATGAGCCCACATACACTCAATGATGGAATGTCACATGTGACACGTGACATGGAATGTACATGTGACAGGACATCATTGTAGAGACTACACACTGTTACGTGCTACATGGTTGTGCAATATAATGAGATTAAGTTATTTTCAACACAGGTGCTAAAATGTACAATAGGAAAAGAATAACCACTTCCATTAATTATATGGAGATAATGGAATAAAATATGCAAATTACTAAAATTAGAACTTTGTCTTCTGCTGTAAAAAGAAATTCAAAATGAATTAAGGGTTTAAACATAAGTTCTGAAACTGAAATTCCTACAAAACATAAGCAAAAAACTTCAGGACTTTGAATTCAGCAGTAATTTTCTGGATATGGCATTAAAAAATAAGCAATAACAAACACAAATTACACAAGTGGGAACTACATCAAACTAAAAATCTTATGCACCCCAAAGGAAATAATTAGCAGTGTGAAAAGCAACATACAAAATAGGAAGAAAAAATTTTAACCATGTGTCTGGTAAGGGGTTAATATTTAAAAAGTATAAGGAACTCCTACAGGTTAACAGCAAAACAGAAAAAAAAATATTTTAACATGAGCTAAAAAATTAAACACAATGGATCAGCAATTAGTGTGGTGGTTAAGACACTGAACTTCCACATGACTGGCCATGGTTTGAATCCCTGACTTTAACAGCTTGACAATCAAGCCAGGTATGATGGATGCATGCCCAAAATCCCAGGAGGAGAATGGAAGAGAAGGGATTGCAGTGTGGCCATTACCTTCAGAGGAATAAGGGGGGATCACTTCTTGCTATCTCTCTCTCTCTCTGACTCTCTCTAGTGAGTGCACATGGCCTATGGCAAAAAAAACTAAAAACAAAAGAAAAAGAAAAAGAAAAAAAGAAACATTTTTATTCAATGAAAAATGCAAATGTCAAAAGGTGTATGCATATTCACCACTAATCATCAGAGAAATGAAAATTCAAAATATTTTAAATCCCAAGCCAAAGAACTGTATTCATTAAAAAAATAGGATTAAGAGGGCAAGTGGTTTGCATAGTCATAACATGACTAGATCTACATGGGAAAGATCCTAGGTTCATGTCCTGGAACCTCTTCAAGCATACCAGGCACACTCACATATTTTCATGATGTGGGTTGGCTGAGACTTGAGGTGTATCATGACATGAAAACTCTGTTTCAGGTACCTGTCCCTTCCCGTGTATGTTTGTGTGTGTGTGTGTGTGTGTGTGTGTGTGTGTGTGTCTTTCTAATGTAATTAATTAATATACTTTCAAAAGTATAATAATAGGTCCAAAATGTGGTGTGGAGTTTACGGCAAATGATCCCACATGATTGACTATGCAGTTCGAGTCCTGGACCTGACAGATTGAAAATCACATGAGGTGGTGCTTGTGTATATGAACCCAAGAACCCTAGAGGAGAAATGATTATGACATGGCCATTCCCCCTAGCGGGGGAAAAGAGGATGAGTTCTCTCTTTACCTGTCTTTCCATCTGTCTCTCTGGCTGGTGCATGCATCTTACAGCAAAATTAAAAATAATGAAAAAAAAAATGTAACAAAGTAGCAGCATGCAGTTTCTTACTGCAGAACTATTTGCTTGGTTGTTACAAAGTAAATTATTTTGTTGCCATTTTGAACCAGAAGGTAATTAAAGCATAGTCCCTGTGGAGTGTCTCCTGTGGTTTTCATCAACATTTGAACGAGTATATATAAACAATCTTAATTAGCCATATTCAGTGTGCCTAAACCTTCTTTTGCTATTCCACAGGTAACAGAAAATTTCAATAACTTGAAAAATATTTTAGAAGTTATAACCTAAAATGTCAATATGCTGCTATTTTTTTTTTCTTTTTACATAGCATTTTAGCTACTAAACACTGTAACACTTTCCTTTTGCATGTGAGTAATGAGTACATTCCTCAACATCTGATTTTTCAGTGATCTGTATAAGAATTAAAACTGACCCTGGAAAACAAGAAAAATATAAAGTATTGAAATCTTTTTGTAGAGCTGAGAGTGTTTCCAATGGAGCATGTGTTTTCAATGGAGCATATGTTTTCATTTTTCTGATCGATAAAGAGAGTTCAAAGTAACAATAATCATAAATACTCAGTAGAGCTATCTAGGGTCTTATATTTTGATATAGTATGAAAACCAATCAATTTCTTCTTTAAATTTATCTTCTGCCAAAGAAATCTAGTAGTCAACTAGATTACAACTTACTTTATACAGTTCATTTAGTTTTAATAGTTTTGAAATATCCAAATGAATAAAGAATCATGTTTTGCTTTATTTCCACGGTATTGGATATGGAGTTCAGGTGTGGAACAAAGGTATGGTATGAAAGGAGTTCATGAAAAATATTAAAACTTCATCCAGTATGGGAAAGACCTGACATTCAATGTTGGTTTTGGAAATTATTAGCTATGAAAATTGCTATAAAGATGAAATTAATGTGCTCCTAAGTTTATTCCTGTAGAAAGTGCTGATTTAAATGGCTGCAATTTCTCTTCACTTTTCCAAATTTTATGTTTCATCATTAAGAACAAAATATTTGGGGACCAGCAGATGGCATGGTGATTAAAAGTGCTGGATTCCCACATGGCTGACTACAGTTCGAGTACTGAATCTAGAGGCTTGCTTTCCCACTTTCTCTCTCTCCTTCTCTGGTCAAATTGAAATTTAAAAATGTATAAATAAAGTTAAATAAAATAATTCTTTTTAAAAAAGGAACAAAATATTATAAGTTTTCAACTTTCTATTAAAATTTAGTTTCATAGAATTAGATTTACATTAATTTTTAAGAGTTTTTCACTATAGGGAGTGTGTGCTCACCAGAAACACAGAAAGAGACAGAGAGACAGAAAGCACGAAATCAACCCCCAGTGGTGATGACCACACCACAATCCTTTCTCCTTTATTTTCCTCTAAGGATCCTGGGTACGCACACACACACATGCCCAGTGTGGGTTTAAGCCACTGGGTCTGGGACTCGAACCACGATCAACTACATGGGAGTCTAGTGACATAGCCATTAAGCCAACTGCTAATCTTGAGGTTTACATTAATTTTAAGAGTTGGTCTTTTATTGTAAATCTTTAAGATCATAATCATTTTTCTGTTTAGAACTCAATATCTCATGTACTAGTATTCGTTTAGCTCTGCTCAAAACAACTTTTCTTTGGGTATCTGATGGAAATATCTACGTCAAGAGAAATTTAGCTATAATATCTTATTAGCCTAAAGAGACTAATGTAGAAAATGGAATTGTGGTACTATACATGGGTATTCTTGGTATCTAATGAACACATAAATCATAAAACTTTATTCTCTAAAGAATAATTGAGAAACTGAGCCTGGGTATAGAAAAAAACAAATCACACACAAAATGATTTTCATTAGATTTAATCCTGTTAAAATAGTCTGTAGATCAAGCAGAATTCTACACACTCTATAATTAAAATTGTTTTAGACTCCATTTCATTAGCATAATTTGTCTTTCAATGCTTACGCCAGTCTTATAAAGTGAATATTAGTATTATTGACCTACAGCTCTGTAGATTATAGTGTATCATGGCACACAATACCAGATTTATTTAGAATTCTGTCATTCTATTTCAGTGCTTTGTCTCCTCATTTTTGCATGTAGAATAAGTTTTCCCCATTTCTGTTATGTTTTAATGTTATTTATCAATAATATAAAAGGAGCTACTAGAATTCTGTGACAAATTAACTAGTTGACCAGATGGCTTTAGCATTGGCATAAGGTCAGCCAATGCATGAATAATATCCTCCATATGATACGATTATGCCATGAACGTAACATATATAGTTCACATTTCATCAAGCCATAGTTATATCCATTCTTCTTGTAGTAACATCTACTGTAATTTTATTAAATTCTTCAAGATTTTTCTGAGATTTGAACATGAAGAACACCACTGAAGTTACCATGTTTATACTGAAGGGCTTCACAGATGACCTTGAACTGCAGAAGATTCTCTTCTTCCTGTTCTTAACAATCTACCTCTTTACCCTCGTGGGGAATGTAGGACTGGTTGTATTGGTCATTGGGGATTCCAGGCTCCACAATCCCATGTACTACTTTCTGAGTGTGCTGTCTTCTGTGGATGCCTGCTATTCTTCAGTTATTACTCCCAACATGTTAGTAGATCTTATGTCAGAGACCAAAGTAATTTCATTCCATGGCTGTGCAGCACAGATGTTTCTCGCCGTAACTTTTGGGACCACGGAATGCTTTCTCTTGGCTGCCATGGCCTATGACCGCTATGTGGCGATCTACAACCCTCTCCTGTACTCAGTGAGCATGACACCCAGGGTCTATGTGCCGCTCATCATTGCTTCCTACGTTGCAGGCATTTTACATGCTACTATACACACAGGGGCCACCTTCAGCCTGTCTTTCTGCGCATCTAATGAAATCAGACATTTCTTTTGTGACATCCCTCCTCTCCTTGCTATCTCCTGTTCTGACACTCACATAAACCAGCTTCTACTCTTCTACTTTGCTGGTTCTATTGAGATTGTCACTATCCTGATTGTCCTGATCTCCTATGGTTTCATTCTGTTGGCCATTCTAAGGATGCGCTCTGCTGAAGGGAGGCGAAAAGTCTTCTCTACCTGTGGTTCTCACCTAACTGGGGTGTCCATTTTTCATGGGACTGTGCTCTTTATGTATGCGAGACCAAGTTCTAGCTACACTTTGGAGCATGACATGATATTGTCAATATTTTACACCATTGTGATTCCCATGCTGAATCCTATTATCTACAGTTTAAGGAACAGAGATGTAAAAGAGGCAATGCGAAAAATGCTTGGGAAATTTTGGTTTATCAATAAAATGTACTTTTCACTCTGAAGCTGAACGGAAAAGAACTGAGAGTGATATTCTGTTCTTCATTATCAACAAGATATGATGAGAATATTTACTTTAATTGATCACTTTAATTCTGTTCTTAAATATTTTAAAATAAATTGTAGGCAGCTCTTTACCAAACTGTTTTATATGTGGAAAAAATTAAGTATTGTTTATTAACTTTTTATTATATTCATATTGATATATGTATATACACATTATATAGATAGATGATAGATAGATAGATAGATAGATAGATGTATTTATACATATATAAACACAGATGTTGATTCTAATTGACATATATGATAGTTAAACCCATTGGAATATATTTATGTAATCTCTATTTTAAAATGCTTTGTATTGTGTTCTCTTGTCTCTATATATCTCTAAGAGGAAGGTATCATAGTTCTAAATACAAAATAGAAGATTATTTAATGCTAATGAAATATGTCATTACTATGTTTTTACTTACACGGGGTACAGAAGAGTTTGTACAATGTGTTTACATTTCATTTTTTAAAATACATACTCATTGGGAACCAGCAGCTAGTGTAATGGCTATGTCACTGGACTCCCAAGTAGTCGACCGTGGTTCACGTACCGAACTGGGTGGCTTAAAACTCAGGCCGGGCGTGTGTGCATGCGTGCCCAAGATCCCAAGAGGAGAATAGAGGAGAAGGTATTGCAGCATGGTCATCACCTCTGGGGGTTGATTTCTCGCCTTCTGTCTCTCTGTCTCTCTCTGTCTGTCTGGCGAGAACATGTGTCCTATAGCGAAAACTTCTCCAAAAAAAAAATACATACAAAATGTTTTGGAGGATTGCATCTCAACATGTCAACAGTGATTATTGGTGGATGTGAAATTAAGGATCTTCCCTTTGGCCTTTATTTTTTTTTTTTAATTTGCAGTAGCAACCTTTTTTATTTTTTCATTGAAAATGTTATTAAAAATGAAACACTGAAATTAAAAATATAATTTTACAGTTCTGTTTCACTAGATTGATCACAGAACACCTAATCCAGAGAAAAACCACCACTCACATAAGTTAAGACAATTTTTTGTAGGGCCACTGGTATCTGTCTCCAGTTTAAAGCAATCTGGGAACCAGCAGGTAGCGTAATGGCTATGTTGCTGGACTCCCACGTGGTCAACCACGGTTTGCGTCCCGGATCTGGTGGCTTAAAACTCACGCCGGGCACGTGTGCGTGCATGCCCAAGATCCTGAGAGGAGAATGGAGGAGAAGGGATGGTGGCGTGGGCATCCCCCCTGGGGGTGATTTCTCGCTTTCTGTCTCTATGTCTCTCTCTGTCTGGCGAGCCCGCGCACCCTATAACGAAAAGCCTGTCAAAAAAAAAAAAGCAATCTAATCCACCCTTAGGTCCATGCATTTGTAGCAATACAATCCAGCTGTGGTTTAGCTACCACACAGAGTGTGTTCAGTTTCCTAGGTATTATTAACTCAGCTGATTTGGAAAAAGTGTGTTTTTTTCTTTTCCTACTATATTATTCAGAGTATGGGCATAGTTGTTTTTTTGCTTTTCGGTTTTTTTTTTTTTTTTTTTTTTTCCAGAGAGCATATACACTTGCCAGAGTGAGAGAGAAAGATAACAGGAAAGTGAGGACACCTCCTCCATGGGGAATGATTACTTCAGAATCACTTCTTGTCAACTTCTCCCCCCTTTCAGGAATATACACACAAATGCCTAACATGTTTCTCAAACTGCCAAATCTGATACTTGAATCACTGCAGTTAGGCATGTGGGATCCAGTCCCTTAGCCACTAGGTCATGGGCTGGCCCAAAATCCATTCTTAATTCCTCACAGAATGTTGAGACTAGACATTGGCATTTATCAATTCAATCTTAAACTCAATAAAAAGAAAGCATAATTCAGAGAGTTTAAGATACAGCTTGCTGGCAGAATTGGCTCTTCTTAAAACTGTGCCCAAGCTATCTTTTAATAGTTTGTATCAGGGCTCCCTCCCACAGTTTGATGTTTTAGAATTTGATCTTTGTGGACAGTGATCAGATGTCCCCTAAAATTCACATGTGGGAACTTTATTGTGTTGATTGTTTATTAAACGTGTTAACTGAGCACTTGAACACATAATCTCTTTAAGTACTTCCTTCTGCTGTTTTGTGATGTATTTGGACTCTGCAGCTAATCAGAACTGTGAGTCAGAATAAACCTGTATTCTCTTAAATTCATTCAGTCTCAGTTATTTCTGTTAGAAATGCAATAATGACCCAAAACACCATATTCATAAAATTCCCTGGCCCCGACTACATTTTTGACTCTCTTTTCCTTTGACCCCTCCACTCAGTGATCTTACAGGTGCCAACGTTCTTCACTTCCCAGACAAAAAAATAACAGCCAAGAAAATGGTTTCTGCTATGCTCATGTTTAGTCTGGCTTCCACTACACCTCGTTTTCATTGCAAATAAATGTCTTCTTCAATGATCACCTTAAGTGATAATGTTTTCTCTTCTTTCGTTTGATTTCTGCTTTTAATTATTTGTTAATGCATTTTTTCCTCAGGTACTCCCTGAATTTATTAATTATGGCAGAATAATACCCTTAGAACATGGAGTACAAGCAAAAGATACTGTCCTAAAATACGATTAATACATGTAAATAACACCTCAATGGTGCAAGTACAAAGCATGTTTTAAAACAGTAGATTCCTACATAAAAGCTCTGGATTTGCTTTCTCTTGTCTGGATGGTTCTTTCTTCTCATATCACATGACTCTTTCCTCAAAATATCATCATTGATAATGACAAGCTATGTCATTGATACCCTTTATCTGTGTATCCAAACCATGCAAGAAAGGAGTGCACTTTTGTATATGTGTGTTTATATACCTATATCTATATCTATCTATGTCTATATCTATATATCTCCTATTTATCATTGAAGAGATGCTTAAGCACAACTCAAAATCACAAGGAAAAATAAATTGTATACTTTAAAATTTTAAAGTCTGGATTATAGAAATAATCACAAATATTGTTTACAAAGGTCATAAGCTTCATAAAATAAATAAAATTATTCATCTAATGAATTAACAAATAATGAGTGGGCAGAAAGTCATAATGTACTTTTGCATAGAAAAAAGAAAGGCCGAAGTGGGATTGAAGATCTGCTTCTAGCTCTGACTTTGGCCCTATGTGTACACTACGTGTACAAGTTGATACAATGGAAATCAAACAAACAAACAAACAAAATAAACAGGAAGGAATACAAAGGCATTGCAAGGAAAAACAAAAGAGATTCCATAAAAACGATGACTCTAGTTCTTCAAAGACATTCCCAAGAAAAGATACTAAGGAAGGTGGGTCTAAAATCACATCAAAGAACTTTGAGAAAAATGCAAGAAAATCTGGGGGAAAGGGTGTAAAGCAGTTCAAGAATAAGCAACAAAGGGACAAAGCACCTAAGAACAAATTCCAACAGGCAAATAAATTCAAGAAGAGAAAGTTCAAGTCAGACTGTCAAAGTGATGACTCAATACCCAAGAAACTCAAATGGGATGATTTCAAAAAGAAGAAAGAACTGAAGCAGAGCAGGGCAACTTAATGATAAAACCAATGATATTATTGCTCAGCCCAAACAGATCTGGAAGTTTTTTTGAGTTTTTTTTTTTTTGTTTGTTTTGTTTTTTTGTTTTTTTTTGAGAGATTTTTGCTATAAGGCCCATGTGCTCAGCAGAAAGACAGAGAGACAGAAAGTGAGAAATAGTGAGAAATCATCCCCTGGGGAGATGGCTATGCTGCAATCCCTTCTCCCCCATTCTCCTCTCAGGACCTTTGGCATGCATGCACACGCACCCAGTGTGAGATTAAGCCATCAGGTCTGGGACTCGAACCACGTTCGACTACATGGGAGTCCAGCGATGTAACCATTATGTCATCTGTTGGTCCCAGATCTGAAATATTTTAAGAAAGAAAGACTATAGGAACCAGCAGTTAGCGTAATGCTTATATTGCTGATCTCCCATGTAGTTGACCATAGTTCTAGTCCCGGACCCGGTGCCTTAAACCCATGCCGGGCATGTGTGTATGCATGCCCAAGATCCCAAGAGGAGAATGGAGGAGATGGGATTGTGCCGTGGTCATCCCCACTGGGGGGTGATTTCTCACTTTCTGTCTCTCTGTCTCTCTCTGTCTTCCTGGTGAGCATATGCACCCTATAACAAAAACCTCTCCAAAAAAAAGAAAGAAAGATTATGGCAAAAAAATAAATAAAAAAGAGTGAAGTTGATGAATGACTTACAGAAATTGATTCAAGGAAAAATTGAAACTATTGGATTTGCACATGATTCAGCTGGGGTGATTCAGTGTTACATTCAGTATGGTGATGAAGAACAGAGAAAACAAGCTTTCAAAGAATTCTGAGGTGATTTGGTTGAATTAAGTAAAGCCAAATACTCCAGAAATATTGTTAGGAAATTTCTCATGTATGCAAGTAAACCACAGATTGCAGGGATAATCAGAAGTTTTAAAGGCCATGTGTGGAAGATGCCGCAACACGCAGAAGCATCAGCCATCGTGGAGTATGCCTACAATGACAAAGCCATCCTGGAACAGAGGAACATGCTGACAGAGGAGCTCTATAAGAACGTCCCAGCTTTACACGTCAACAGATCACTCAACTCTGGACAAAGTGTTAGAGGCAAAGCCTGAAATATTAGAGATCATTATGGATGAAATGAAGCAGATTCAAACTCCGAGGGCCCAGAAGGAAGCTGTGACTAAGCACTCATTGGTGCATAGAGTATTCTTGGACTTTTTTATGTATGCACCCCCAAAACTCCCATCCGAGAAGTAGTGCTATACCTGGAACACACACACGATGGCGCCAGAATGGCCATGCACTGCCAGTGGCATGGTACACCTAAGGACAGGAAAGTAATTGCGAAAACAATGAAGACTTAAGTAGAAAGGATGACTAATGGCCAATACTCCCATTTGGTTTTATTGGCAGCATCCAACTGTA